ACCGACACCGGGACCGACACCGGGACCGACACCGGGACCGACACCGGGACCGGGCCCGGGCAGCGCCGCCAGCCCGTACACGTTACTCTGAGAGCCCAGGCGGCTGAAACTGTCCTCGACCAGCGGGCAGCGACCCCACCGGGACATGGCACCGGGAACCGGCACCGGCACCGGGAGAGGTGAGGGGACACCGGGACCGGGAACGGGAGCGGCACCGGGAGCGGTGAGGGGGGGAGAACCGGGTACCGGCACCGCTGAGGGGCCACCGGGAGCTGTGAGGGGGTACCGGGACCGGCACCGGGAACCGGGAGAGGTGAGGGGACACCGGGACCGGGAACGGGAGCGGCACCGGGAGCGGTGAGGGGGGGAGAACCGGGTACCGGCACCGCTGAGGGGCCACCGGGAGCTGTGAGGGGGTACCGGGACCGGCACCGGGAACCGGGAGAGGTGAGGGGACACCGGGACCGGGAACGGGAGCGGCACCGGGAGTGGTGAGGGGGGGAGAACCGGGTACCGGCACCGCTGAGGGGACACCGGGAGCTGTGAGGGGGTACCGGGACCGGCACCGGGAACCGGCACCGGGAACCGGGAGAGGTGAGGGGGAACAGGAACCGGGTACCGGGAGCGGTGAGGGAGTACCGGGAGCGGGTACCGGGAGCCCTGAGGGAGCACCGGGAGCTGTGAGGGGACACAGGGAGCGGTGAAGGGATACCGGGAGAGGTGAGGGGGAACCGGGAGCGGTGAGGGAGTACCGGGACCAGCACCGGGAGCCGTGAGGGGAGCACCGAGAGCCGTGAGGGGAGCACCGAGAGCCGTGAGGGGAGCACCGAGAGCCGTGAGGGGAGCACCGAGAGCCGTGAGGGGAGCACCGAGAGCGGGCACCGGGAGCGCTGAGGGAGCACCGGGAGCGCTGAGGGAGCACCGGGAGCGGTGAGGGGGTACCGGGAGCTCTGAGGGGACACCGGGAGCGGTGAGGGGGGGACAGGGATCGGGTACAGGGAGCCCTGAGACAGCACCGGGAGCAGTGAGGGGACACCGGGACCGGGTACCGGGAGCGCTGAGAGAGCACCGGGAGCGCTGAGGCAGCACCGGGAGCGGTGAGAGGACACCGGGAGCTCTGAGGGCAGCACCGGGAGCGGTGAGAGGACACCGGGAGCTCTGAGGGCAGCACCGGGAGCG